TCCCTACCTTTTTGCTGACCTCCCTTAGGGGTCGTCCTCTGGCACGTGGTCTTCTCCACAACATGGCAGTCTGCTTCTTCAAGGCCATCAGGAAAATCCTCCTGACTTCTGTCTCTGACCTCTCGACCCTCTTTTCAAAAGTATGCCTGATTAGGTCAGGCCCACCCAGGATAATCTCCCTTTTAGTAACTCAACATTAACTGACTTGGTACCTCGATTACTTCAGCAAACTCCCCTCACCTTTGCCATACCATGTAAGAGAATCATGAACATGCTATCCCACCATATTCAAAGGTCCCACCACATTTGGGGGAGGGGATTATCCAAGACGTGCATCCCAGGGACAGGAATTTGGGGGATCACCCTGGAACTCTGCAACAAGCTCTGTCTTAGAAGTCATCAGGTGCATGTCTAATGAGTCATAAGGAGCAAAACTGGAGTCACAGTCAAGCGTGAGAGTCCTGAACCCAAGCCCCTTCTTGCACATCACACCCCCGTTCTAATAGCAAACTTCATATCCCCAAAATAAACATTTTCTGCCGTCATCCAGGGCACTTGCAGTTTATAAAATACTTTATGACATGTAAAATTCAGCGTGATTAAATCAAATTCAAGATTTCCCCCAGGAGCCCCTCTCAGCACACATGTCAATCAAATCCAGGCTGAGCCATCAAACCCAATTACCCAGAAACCAGCTGACACAAGCTATTAATAAAGCCATGTGAAGCAGGGGGGCAGACATTCTCACTCTGCGGCTTTTCTCTCTCCCTCTCCGCCCCTCTCCTCATTGTCTTTTACCCAGGTGTCACACCATTGCTCCTGAAGCTTCTGCATTTGGCAAGATTCCCACCTGGTCTTGTCTTGATCTCCCCTTCCTTGACCCCCTGCCCCACAAGGATGGAGCGCTCAAGACATGTCTGTTGGACTAAACTCTTCTCCTCACTTTGTAATAAGCATATTTCAGACTATCTCAATTTCCTTCCCTATGATTTCAAGTGTTCGGGGGCATTTGAATTAACTGATGTTCCCTGCGTGTGCCCATATAGACAATGCCTCTTATGCAGTTGCCATGTCCCCAGCCAAGGACGTGGAGTATGTGGATCCACACTTCCCTCCTTCCTCTTCCTCCTAGAGAGCAGAGACTCGGGAACTAACACCTGCTGAACGCCTACTGAATGCCGCATACTGCAAACATACAATTATGCATTACCTTTTAGAGCCATAGAACCTGTGCCTTGGAGAGATTAACTCATCTGGGCTCATACCACTGATCGTGCTGCAGCTCAGAGCTGAACCCAGACTTGATGGCAAAGCCATACCCTATCCAGACTTCACTGCTGAGTTGGGGCTTTTCTCCTCAAATTGAGTGTAGTCCCCAAAACTTTGAACAGTCTTTAGGCAGGTATGAGTTTTAAAGGAGGCTTCAAGTGTTCAAATGAAACCTCATCTTAACAGATATGCATTTCTCGGACATGGCAACCTAACAATTAATGCCACATTTAAGACTCCGGTATTTACATCTATAAAGTTTTCCATACATTTCTGCTGCTTGGTACCTATGCCGGCCTGAGACATATTAGTCTTTCAGGAAATATTTGGAGAGAGAAGGCAGGAAGGGGTGAGAGTGTGAGCCTGTGGGGTATTTGGCGGGGGCGGGGGAGGGGGTTGGATGCTCGCTATAGGTGAGCAGAGAAAGGCCCAGGGCTGGCCTGTCAGCTGCACAGCAAACATTCTCCCTGCTTTTGCGTGCTTCCATCGCCCCCTAGCCATTATGGGGAGAAATACCCGTCTCCGGGAAAATCCGTCATTCCTCCAGAATGTCACTTTTAGCCCTTTGAGTTGATGGTCTTTGCTACAGTGTACGCCTGCGTACTTTGTCTTTTTCACTAGCAGCTTTCTTTAGTGGCTATTATTAAAAAATGGTATCACTAAGAGTTGGCATCACTTATCTTCTTAGCCCAAAAGAATGGGATTTGTCAGTTCTTTAGAAGCCCTTTGCTAGTAAGAACCAGGTCTTATTTGTCTCTGAGTCCCCGACTCTACCATGAACTGTCCTGGGCATATGTCCACATGTGCCTTGACTTTAGGGTCAGGCCAGGTGCTGTCTCCTCCATGAAGCTCACACAGCAATAGCTTCTGCTAATTCCCCATTTACCACATGCCAGGGGCCTGATGAGCATTGTCTCACGTAATTCTCATGATGGCCCTATGAGGTAGTATGATTATTTCCATCTCACAGTTGGGGAAACTGAGGCATGGTGGGGGCACACACCTTGGCAAAGCCGAGATTCAAACCCAGCTGCCTCCTCCCCAGGCCTAGGACCTTCCTCCCAACACAGGCCCTGGGAGTCCCCCGGCCAAAGTGGTGTCTCCATCCTCTGCCGCCATTCCTTTCGGACTCCTTCGTGTCATTTTTCACTCCCTCTCCCTGCAAGTTGTATTTCTTCTTTCTCTAAACCAGAAACCCAAACCCTACGAAGGACATTGTCCCCCAACATGTCATCTTTGTGCACACCGAATCTCATATGTGGTGGGTACTCGGGACAGGCGTGTGTCCATCCATGTAACTTGTGAAATTGCAGCTCCTTCGATGACTACAGGATTGTTAGTTCTGAGTTCAGTTTTCCCAAGGAGAGACCTGAGGATGCCTGGCATCAGAATAACCTTTAGCTGGTTGTCTGCTTACAACTATACTCTCATGGGAGGGAGGAGAGTGAATGGGAGTGTTGCCCGGGACAAACGCAAAGTAGGATTTATAATTGAGACGCAACAGAGGAGAAGGGGGAGCTGAAGACTGTCTGAAAGCAGGCTCATCTGGGAACAGTGAGGCTTGGTTTACTTTTTTTTTTTTTTTTTTGATAAACGGATTAGCAGGCAGGGAGCAAAGAGGTCAGTCTGGAGGCTCTACCCTTGAGCCGGCTGAATAGAGGCATCCAAGAAAACAATTCCCAAAAACCTGGGAAGTCTGGCTGTGGTGTAAGTGACAGGCTGCCTATGTGATGTGTCCAGAGTCCTCCCCCTTCTCTGATCAGATTCCTTTTCAGGGAGGTGAGCACTGTCCAGTTATTGATCTCACCTGCCAGGACCAAAGCAGAGGAAGATGGACCATTCTTCAGCATGGGAAAGGAGAACCAGCCCAGCATTCTGGAACAAAGGAGACTGGCTTGTAGGTTGTTTGAGGGATCATAGAATAAGGGAATGGCCAAAAGCAGAATTGGAGGTCAAAGGTAGGAAATTAAGGTCAGAGGGAGAAAGAAAAAGAAAGAACAGGTGCACGCACAGGTTCAGTTCACAACATTGAACAACAGCGCGGGGTGGACGCAGGTCAATCTTTAGACAGTGCTGTACTCCTGAAAGCATGAGCCCTTCACCCTTCAGACCCTGGGGAGGGCTAGGGGGGCCCTAGAGAGGTGCCCGGTGGTAAGTCTGGGGCTCTGGCACTGACTGCTGACAAGTACAAAGAAATATAATATTTTATCAACCACTGCTCTCATCAGGTATATGCTGACTGAATATCTGTACTGAGATGAGGGAAGAGGGAAGAGAATGTGACTATCTGGAATAATTAATGGACATGGAAGCCAATGACAAAGGGAAATTGGCAGCAACATGGAGGAGCTGCCCTTCCGATCAGATCAGGTTCCCTGTCGCCCGTCATGGTGGGTCCGGCGGCCCCTGTGGTCATAGCTGTTGACCCTCCCCACCCGGGGAGGCAGCCCTGGCAGGAGCACCTAGCCAGCTGGCTACGTGGCAGCCCGAATTTCCGAGGCAGGGAAACGGCTGGTCAGTTGGGCCAAAGCCCAGAGTGATGCTGATGTTGGCAGGCTCTCCTGCCCTCTCATCGCTGCCCACGGGCCACAGGTGGCTCTTCTTCACATGCCCGAGTCAAAAACAAAATCCCTCAGCCAAGAAGCAGCCACAGAGCCATTTGCCACTGGGCTTCACGAAATGTGCAATGCAGATCACACTCCCCTCCGCAGAATTGCTGTTAGAAGATCCGGAATTTCTGACTTTCCAAGAAGGAGCCCAGGACCCGTGGCTTTGTGAAAAATGACAGGAATGAATATTTTCAGAGTCAGTTCCTCAAAGTCCATAGGTTCCAAGAAGTTGCAAGACCATCATCACCTCCCTCCACATTCAGCAACTGTTCCCACAGCATCCTGACTACATTTTTGTGGCTGTTTCTAATTACCCCCTGCACTTGGGGAGTTCATCTTGCATCACTGTTTTGCTTTGGGCCATCGAAAACTATTTCTGTCTTCCCATATGTGTTTGGCTACCACTAGTTGGGGAAAGTTATTTTTAGCATTTCCTCGTCTTTCCATCTTTGCAGATCTGCCCTATTTAGGGAAAAAAATCTAGAAAAGAGTAATTTTTTCCCCCTAAGGAATACCAGAGATGCTTTTAAAGTTCTACAAGCAACTTTTTCATGTTCAGTGTAGAAGTCAGTAAAGGGGAGCAAGAATCCCAAATCCTGGATTTTCTCCTCTACCATGTGTGCTGGCATAGAAAGAAAACAAAGGATTCTTTTCCTCCTTCAAAACCCAGGTTGGTGTAGATCCTATAGCTCCCCCATCCTACTCCTGCTTCGGGCAGACCCACCGTCCCTAGACTTCAACAATCATACTAGAACTATACCTTGCTATACTTTTTTATATTTCAGATACTACCTGCACCCCCAAAGAATTCTGTCAAATTTAAGGTATTTTTTAAAACACTGAAGATGAAGGATTTTAAATTACATTTACCTAATCTGTACCAGAAGCACCTTCTCTTTATTAATTAGTCATTTGGCAAGCCACTTTAGAATTATTTTAGTACTTGAATTTAAAACAATGGCAGCGTACAAACATTTGTGTATTGCTGCCAAAATTAAGAAATGGTATTTTATTATCATTTGGTTGAGTATTTTGTTTTTAACTATCACTTATCAAACATAACAAAAAAGCAGTTTTTGAACCACATGGAAACATGAATCTTTTTTTTTTTTTTTAAGATTTTATTTATTCATAAGAGACAGAGAGAGAGTGAGGCAGAGGGAGAAGCAGGCTCCCCGCCGAGCAGGGAGCCCGATGTGGGACTCGATCCCAGGACCCCGGGATCATGACCTGAGCCGAAGGCAGACGCCCAACCATCTGAGCCACCCAGGTGCCCTGGAAACATGAATCTTTGACGAATTTTGGTCAAAGATAGACCTAGCAGTGTTACTCAGAAATGGGTTCTATTGAAACAGTTTCATTTCCTCTGTCCTTCATTATTCAAAACTCATAATTAAGACTTCTTTCAAATATGTGAGCAGAGAGCTTCATAAAAAATTAATTTGAAATTACTTAAGCTACCCCTCACCTATTAGAATGGCTCAGATCCAGGCCACTGATAAGGCCAAATGCTGGTGAAGATGTGGAGAAACTGGAACTCTCATTCAGTGCTGGTGGGAATGCAAAATGACACAACCACTTTGGAAAACAGTTTGGGATTTCTTACAAAACTAAACAGACCCCTACGCTATGATTCAGCAACAGCACTGCTTGGTGTTGACTCAAGGAGTTGAAAACTTATTTCTACATAAAAACCTACACATAGATGTTTATAGGAACTTAATTCATAATTACCCAGACTTGGTGACTTTCTGCCTATTATTGTGTTATGAATATTTCTCCCAATTGATCTGCAAGTATATAGATATCTTTGTGTGGTGGACATGGAGACACAGTGCCTGCAACCCTTTCAAGGAAAGACAATCACCAGCTGCTTCTTGCCTCAGTGGCAGAGAGCTGACTTGCCCAAGAACATGCTCTTCCTGGGGGACCCATATCCATTGACTGGTAGTGGTAGGAGACAAAGGCCCAGCCATTTCAGCCCAACATGGGAGCACTCTGACAGGCCATTTCTTCTCCAGAGCTCTCCAAAGGGTTCCTATTGTTGGCCTGCATGGTAATTGGATCTTTCCCATGAAGAAATCCCACTTCCTTCACCTCCTTTCCACAGATTATCTCCAATAAACACCATACACATCAAACTCCATCTTGGTATCTATTTCTGAAAAAAAAAAAAAAAAAAAAAAAAACCTGTGACAACTTCAAAGTTAATTGTTTAATTAATAGCTAACATAACATACACCTTTACATATAAATACACTATCCTAGAAAATAGTGTGGTTTTTTTTTTTTTAATCATAGAAGAAACTGGTTCTTCCATAGAATGATTATTGGAATGAAAGATTTAAAGTTGAGCACCACACCTGAAACTAATATACTGTATGTTAATCATACTGGATTTTTTTTTAAGATCTTAATTAGCTTACATGAGAAAAACTAGAGTGGTATAGTTGGGACAGTGATTATATTGCTTTTCAAACCTTGGTCTTAGTCATGAAATCAGAATATCATTTCATCTTTGAGTTTTAATGATCTCAAATAAGATAATAGTATATTATAACTTAATTTGTAAGCCTACTTTTAGAAGGATATATAAATTATCTTTGTGGAATCGTATAGGACCAAAATGAAATAAATGATGTAAGTCAATCTAAAATAAAACAAAACAGAACACTTGAGTATAAAAACACAGTATTTTTCTAACAGCTATTATGCAAATCTATTATTTACATTATATTCCTCTAAATAAAAATCACCCCTTTATTTGGGGATATAATCCCTGTTATTTGCTGCCCCCTTTATCTTGCTTTATTTTTCTTAATAGCATTTTTTTTTTTTAGTATCTTTTATTTCAATATCTGCCTCCCCAGCACCTAGAATGGAGCATGACATACAATAAGTATTCAATAAATATTGGCTGGATAGCTAAACGGATAGACGAATAAATGAATAAACAACTTAGGGCCAAAGGCAGATAAAACATATCTAGATATTTGGCGTCCCTCTTCAGGAAAATGAAGCATAGTATTAACTTGCTTTGTATAAAATTGCCCAAAGTACTCATTGTATATGCACAGATGTATCCAGACCACTCTGGAAACCATTTTTCTTTGCTCCCTTCTTCCTCCCAGCCCCACCCCTTTGATGCAGGCTGCCTGACTGCATAGCTTCAGGGGAGCTCACAAGAAGGTTGTATTCAGACGATCAAGAATGGTAACAGATGGCTGGATGCCCTCATTCTGCAGATGCCTCTGTATCTGTGCTGCTTAAAAGCATTTTAACTAGTATAGATAGGGTGAGACAGGTATTATCTGGTGGCAGCCCAAGTTTCTAGAATCCCAGATTAGTGCCTAGTCCCCTCAACCTCATAGCTGCTAATCCTCTGTGACAGCTCTTGTGCACCTGTTGAGTGACTTCAGTGAATTCTGCTTCATTATATCTTGTTTGGGGTTGAATTTTCCCCAACATGAGCTCTTTGGCTAATGTAGCTGGCTCATATTTTTGTTAGACTATTTAAAGACAAGCAAATAAACTTGGAGAGGGTAAGGAAAGGTGATACAGGAAACCTGAGATTGAGCTAGGACTTTGGCCATCCATCCTAGTCATCAAAACAGTTATTAACCTTATTGTTGTTCTGACAAGATGGCGGAGAACCACAGGTCGATTTAGAGATTCAGTCCAGGGGCAACAGCGACTCTCCAATTCTTTTGTGGGAAGAACTGAGCAAAGAATATAACAGAATTGCACAGAACCTCATAAAAGCAATCTGTGTTCATAGTTAAGTTCACCTACAGCATTTTTGTCACTTCTGGCTACATTCAGAATGACTTTAAGGCCATAATTTCCAATAGCTTTCCATATGAATGCAATAGATGTTTGTTATGCTAAGTCTGTAAGCAGTAGAATCTTTCTTAGTTTCTAAATGAACCTTTTCCAGTTTAAGTAATTTGCATGGAGGAAAATGTCATCTTTTCCTCTTTTTTTCCTCATAGTGAACTGATTAGAACAAATGCAGGAGACCCCAAATGTTGAAAACAGCAGACTTTTAAATTCCATGGAATGAGATTTCTTAAAACATAATTCTACCTGGGTTGCTGAAAATGGAGCTAAGAAATCCATTAGCTCTTGGCCCTTTTCCCACTTTTGTAATTATTGTTACATCTTCCTCTATTGTGAAGTGTCTATTATGCAAATCCCATTGGGAGTGGCTTTTCCATCATGATCAGCTCATTGTTGCTATCAGTACAGAGCCCTCTGGAGACTTCACTGAGAGTCTACCCAGAAAAGAAAGGAAATGTGAGTTTGAGGAGTTTTGTTAGCATGAGATGGTGCGGTCTCCATTGTAGTAATGCTTTGCCAAAACTTTTCAGGATGCCCTTGACCTATGAAATCACCTCAGAGAAAATATACAGGGTTTGGTGTATATTCCTTCTTCTTTTACAGAAACATGACCAGTCACATTTTTATGGTCACAGAGGGAATAAAATCCTTTCCTCTGGTGGCAATTATTTTTGTTGGGCTTATAATTTTAAGGTCACTGATGGGGGGGGGTGTCCATTTCCCATAGAAGGCAAGTGTAGTGAAGAACCTGATAGATCTTCTCAGAGAGGAGGACTAGATAGAATGTAAAATTATAATCATGAAGAATGTGACCATCAATAATCTTTTATAAGCTCAGATTTAAAGATGTCTCTCAATTAGGAAAACAAGGTAGTATGGTGTAAAATAGAGAACATAAGCTTTGAAATTAAAGGACTGTTATTGGCCATTAAAGGGAACTAATGAAGATGGGGGCCTTCCAGAATTATGATCTTGGGTCGACATAGTAGACTGGGTGGGCATGGAAGAGATTCACTGCCCTCTCCCACCATCTTTCTTTAAACATATATAACCCCCTAAAAACAGACTTAAATGGGTAGCCCAGTTTACAAGATTTCAGAAACTGGTCCAATATATAAAGGAAACCAAAGCCAGAGTGGTAATGAAGAGCAGAAGCAGCATGGCCTGGGGGTAAATAAAGGTCTTATCAGCTGGGAGTTGAGGTTTTTGTTTTTTTTTTTTTTTAAGATTTTATTCATTCATTTGAGACACAGAGATAGAGAGAGAGCATGAGCAGGGGGAGAGGCAGAGGGAGAAACAGGCTCCCCGCTTAGCCAGGAGCCCGATGTGGGGCTTGATCCCAGGACCCTGGGATCATGACCCGAGCCGAAGGCAGACGCTTAACCATCTGAGCCACCCAGGCACCCCGGGAGTTGAGGTTTTAACACACTTACTGAGACAGAAGATTTAGTTCCCAAACCATGGGGATAGGATGGTGGTGAATAATGTCAAGAATCTCAAATTTTCATTTCTTTCATGAACTTATGAGTAGAAAATCTCTTCCTATGTGCCTGGAGAAGAAACAAGAAGATAGCCACCTACTCTGATCCTTGGACCAAAAGAGCCACCCACAATATATCAAAATAGCGGTGTGAGGTCTGAATTTACAATTTGAATATGGTGAGACAATTCTCGTGCTAAGAAATTAATATAAAAATTCTGAAATGGGTGAAGTCACTAGAAACACAGAGGAGGCCCTGTAAATCTGTTCTTAGAGACATTTCTTTACCCCTTGTGATGAACTGAATTATAACCCCCACAATTCATACATTGAAGCTCAAGCCCCTAGTGTGATTGTAATTAAAGACAGGGCCTTTAAAGAGGTAATTAACGTTCAACGAGGTCATAAGAGTGGAGCCCCGATCCAGTAGGACTGGAGTCTCTCTGAGAGGAGGAAGAGACACCAGGATGCACACACACAGGAAAGACCATGTGGGGATGGAGTGAAAAGGGCCAGCTTTGACGCAAGGACAGAGGCCTCAGGAGAAACCAAACCTGCCAGCAACACCTTGATCTTGGACTTCTAGCCTCCAGAACTGTGAGAAAATAAATTTCTATGGGAAGCCACCCAGGCTAAGACACTCCTGGTTACATGGCAGTCTGGATACACTCACTGAAGATAAATTCACAAGAAAAATGTATAGACCTTACAAAGAGAGGGAGTCACAAGGAACATCAAACAGGAGAATTTGCACTCCCCAAAACTAAAGGTAATAGGTTAAGCTGAAAGAGGTTATAAAATAAGTTTGTTTAAAATATTTAGAGATAAAAGAAGGTATACAAACTGTAAGTCAAGTACAGGGTAATATGGGAAGAACATATTTTTGAAAGGAAACTATATATACATTGTAGAAATAAAAGGTATAATTATTGAGGGGCACCTGGGTGGCTCAGTCAGTTGAGCATCAGACTCTTATCTCAACTCAGGTCTTGATCTCAGGGTCATGAGTTTGGGCCCCACGTTGGGCTCCATGCCGGGCGTGGAGCCTACTTAAAAAGAGGGGACAGTATAATTACTGAAATTAAAAGTGTAGTACAGGGGCACCGGGCTGGCTCAGTCAGTAGAGCAGCCCACTCTTGATCTTCCAGTCGTGAGTTAGAGCCCCAGATTGGGTGTAGAGATTACTTTTTTTTTAAGTGTCATAGGTGGGAAAATAGCCTATGAGACCCAGGCAAATAGAAAATTAGTGAATTGAAATATAAATCTTAAAAAAAAAAACCTTGCAGCATAGGATGAAAATAGAAAAGAGAGGCAGGACGCCTGGGTGGCTCAGTCAGTTAAGTGTCTGCCTTTGGCTCAGGTCATGATCCTGGGGTCCTGGGATCGAGTCCCATATCAGGCTCCCTGCTCATTGGGGAGCCTGCTTCTCCCTCTGCCTGCAGCTTCCCCTGCTTGTGCTCTCTCTCTCACACAAAAATATAAATAAAATCTTAAAAAGAAAAGAAAAGAGAGGCTAAGATACATAAAGGACAGAATGAGAAATCCCAAAATATGTCTGGTAAAAATTACTGAAAAAATCAACAGAAAAAAATAGAGGAGGTGGTGGTATGAAAAGTTAAAGGCTGAAAATTCCCCGAATTAAAAAAGGAATCTGTCTTTGGTTTAAAGGAACATATCAGTGATGTGGAAAACAAAGGCAAAAGAAATGTAGCTTAAATTAAAATCTCTTTACAGCTTGCAGCCCACTGACAGATACCTGAAACATGCAGGGCATGACCTTCCTTGAGGAACTCGTAGCTGCCTTAGTGGCTTAATGTTTAAAAGGAACCTTATCTTGGCAGCAGCTGATCCCTCAAGGTCCTGAAAGACTTGCTTCCAGATTCCTTGGAGACTGGTGCTATCCCTCATCCCCACTAATTAAAAAGTACACAATTAGTCACTCCTCACAATCCCAGTGTAGCTCTTTCTGCCCACAGGTCCTGTCCCGTGAATAGAGAAGGGGTTAAGGTATAGTCAGGAGAGATAGGAGGCTCCTGACTCTCCTGACTGGGCTTCGAAACTACTCCTGGCAGGTGGAGACGCTGAGACAGAGCAGAACAAGAGATAAGGGAACTAACCAAGAAGGTACAAGAATCTCGAGGCCACGAGCTTGCCAGTCAGTTCTCAATGAAAGACTTCCATTAAAAGCCCTCAGTGGCAACCCATTCGGGACCCATCTCACTCTAGAGAGCTTTTTTTTTCTTTATGTTCTCACCTTCACTTAATATAACTTTCACTTCACTTCACCCTCTTGTGTCCATGAGGTTCCTTCTTCAGCTCCATGAGACAAGAACCCTGCAAGCCTGCAACATCAGGACCTAAGCAGGAAAAATAAAAACATAATCCCAATGAAACATATCATAATGAGATAGCAAATATCAAAAACAAAGAAAAAAAAAAGTCTTGAGAGCCACCAGATTATGTATCAGAGAATGGCAATCATACTGGAGAAGACTTAAGAATAGAAGTCAAAAGACAATGGAGTGATATTTCAAAGTTCTGAGGGGGAAAAAAACTGTGTCCCCGGAATTTTATCCCAGTGACACCATCACTCAAAACTGAGAGCAAAATAAAGATGCTTTCAGAAAAGCAAGTTTACTATTTACAGACATGCTTGAAATAACTGGTTAAAATGTACTATATAGGGGCGCCTGGGTGGCTCAGTCGTTAAGCGTCTGCCTTTGGCTCAGGTCGTGGTCCCAGGGTCCTGGGATCGAACCCCGCATCGGGCTCCCTGCTCAGCAGGAAGCCTGCTTCTCCCTCTCCCACTCCCCCTGCTTGTGTTCCCTCTCTCACTCTCTCTCTCTGTGTGTCAAATAAATAAAATCTTCAAAATAAAATAAAATAAAATGTACTATATAGGAAGAATGGATTTTAGTGGTATGCAAGAAGCAATGGTAAGGGGCGCTGGGTGGCTCAGTCATTAAGCGTCTGCCTTCGGCTCAGGTCATGATCCCAGGGTCCTGGGATCGAGCCCGGCATCGGGCTCCCTGCTCTGTGGGAAGCCTGCTTCTCCCCTCCCTCTGCCCCTGCTTGTGTTCCCTTTCTCACTGTGTTTCTCTCTCTGTCAAATAAATAAATAAAATCTTAAAAAAAAAAAAAAAGAAGCAATGGCAAATACATTGGTTATCTTCATCAGCACTTACTGTAAATAATAATGATAGCACTAAGACTGGCAAAATGAGGTGGAGGTCAGGGAGAGGGGAGAGACCACAGTAAATGGAAAACACAGAATAAGATAATAGAAAAAAAATCCAATGTATCAGTACACAACATAAATGTAAATAGATCACATTTGTCTATTAGATTCTGACTCCATTTACAAAATCCAGCTGGATATTGCTCTAGTCTTTGTGGCTTGCATTCATACTAATGAGAAGTGAATTGGCTGTCATTCTTATCTTTGTTACTCTGTAATGTATCCTTTTTCTCTAGCTGCTTATGAGATTTTTTTAATTGTTTAAGTAATTTGATTATGAAATTACAGTGGCACTTATCCCCAAATTGATCTATAGATTTAACAAAATCATAACAAACTTTTTATAAGAATTTTTGGGGTAGAGATTGATAAGTTTATTGCAAAATTTATATGAATATGAAGAGGATCTAAAATAGCCAAAACAACTTTCTAAAAAAGGTTGGAGGGGACGCCTGGGTGGCTCAGTCGGCTAAGCGTCTGCCTTCAGCTCAGGTCATGATCCCAGGGTCCTGGGATCGAGTCCCGCATTGGGCTCCCCACTCAGCGGGAAGCCTGCTTCTCCCTCTGCCTCTGTCGCTCTCCCTGCTTGTGCTCTCTCTTTCTCTCTGACAAATAAATTAAAAAATCTTAAAAAAAAAAATAAAAAAAATAATAAAATAAAATAAAAAAGGTTGGAGGACTTATAGTACCTGATTTATACTACTTGATCTCAAATCTTATTATAAATCAGTAATAATCAAGACAGTATAATCAAGACAAATGGATTAATGGAACAGAACAGAGTCCAAGAAAAAACCCACATATATATGGTAGATTGATTTTTTGACAAAATACAAAGGCAATTCAGTAGATCAAAAACTAGTCTTTTCAACAAATGGTGCTGAAACAGCTGGATATGGATTCACAGTAAAAAAAATGAACTTCAATCTATATCTTGCACCATAGGCATAAATTAAATGGATCAGAGATCCAAATGAAAGAACTAAAACTACAAAACTTCCAGGAGAAAACATAGGAGAAAATCTTAGTGGCCTTGGTTTGGCAAAGATTTCTCAAATAAGTCACAGCAGCACAAACTATAAAAGCAACCCCCCTACCCTCCTCCACATCCCTCTACCTGTTTCAGAGAACCACTGATCTGGTTTCTGTCTATGCAAGAGTTTCTTTTATTTTTTAGAAATTTCATATAAGTGGAAACATAAATAGATAGTCTCTCATGTCTGGGTTCTTTTGCTTAGTATGTTTTGTTTTGTTTGAAGATTTATTTATTTATTTGAGAGAGAGAGAGAGCATGTGCATATGAGTGCATGAGTAGGGAGAGGGGCAGAGTGAAAGAATCTTCAAGCAGACTCCCTGCTGAGCACAGAGCCTGTTGCAAGGCTTGATCTCACAACCCATGAGATCATGACCTGAGCCAAAACCAATAGTCAGACATTTAACCAACTGAGCCACCCAGGCTCCCCTTGCTTGGAATGTTTTTGAGCTTCATTCTTGTTGCATGTATCAGTAGTTTTGTTTGTTTGTTTAATCCCAAGTACTATTCCATTGTAGGGATATATTCCACATTCTGTTTATCCATTCTCCAGCTAGTGGACTTTTGGGTTGTTGCCACTTTGAGGCCATTATGAATAATGCTATTATGAATAGTCACAAGTGAAGGAGTACAAGTCTTTGTGTGGATGTTAGGTTTTCATGATTCTTGGAGTTATTCACTTCCCTAGGAGTGGAATTGCAAGGTCGCATGGTAAGTGTATCTTTATTTAATCAACTTCAAAAATGATTTACAAAGTCGCTGCTATTACTTTACATTCCACCAGAAAAGTAATGTTTCAGTTTCTCCATATCCTCATTAACACTTGTCATTGTCTGTTTTATTGAGTATAGAGCCAGTATAGTGAGTGTATAGTAGTATCTTATTTTGATTTTAATTGCATTTCCCTACTGATGTTGAGTATCTTTTTATGTACCTATTAATCATTCCTATATCATTTCTGCTGACTATTCAAATATTTTGTCCTTTTAAAAAATTGGGTTTCTTATATTAGTACTGATATAAGAGTTCTTTATATATTCTGCATACAAATTCTTTGTCAGATGTATAATTTGCATAAATTAACTCCTAGTCTGTGCTTGTGGGTTTTTTTTTTTTCATTTTTTAAGGTGTCTTTTGAAGAACAAAAGCTTTTTCATTTTGATGAATTTTTGTGTACCAATTTTTTCTTTAATATATCATACTTTTGGTGTCATATGTAATAAATCTTTATCTTTTCTAAGAAGACTCTACATAATTTCTCCTATATTTCTTTCTAGAAGTTTTATAGCTTTAGTTCTTACATTTAGATCTATGATACATTTTTAATTCTTTTTTGTGTATTGAGTGAGGGTTTTTTTGTTTGTTTTTGAGCACATGTATAGTTCAATTGTTTCTGCACTAGATGTTGAATAACAAATACAACAAAGAAAAAGACCAGAGAGAGAGAGACTGTCTTTATATATAGGATAGATTGAACAGTCATATATAAATATAATTGTTAGTCTGGAATATTTTATACTATCTCAGGACCTTTTGTAAGAAAGGGGAAGCATTTTGGGGGCTCCCATCTCATGTTGGTTAAAGGTTTGCCTTTTGGGTGTTAAACCCTCGTGCTTTCAGGTTGCATATATGTGGACACACGAACATTTCTGAGTTCTACACCATGGGGTCAACGGGGAAGCCCCAGGACAGGAAGCTAGAGACTACAGCCTGTGCCTGAAGCAAGATGCTTGCAGGCTGCACCCCCATGAAACTAATTAGAGCCAGGAGAACTGGTCACAGAGGCTGGAACGAAGCTCAGCTAAACCAGGAGATCTTGCAGTGACACACAAGAAGTGTCTAATACCATGTCTTATCTCTCCAAAAAGAGGATTTGTAGTTGCAGGAATGTTTTTCTGGACCACAAAGTGACAGAATGCAAAGGTGGTATGGTTGCAATCCGATTACACAGCAATAATAGTGTGAAGCAAATTCTCTGTGTCATAGCAAGGGAGACAGCTGTGTTAGCTCAGGGACATAGAGATTAACCTCCACAAGGGAGGCTAGGGGGAGATTAGGGGCAAGACCAAAGGGCAGTATCAGCAGCAGTGACGCTTCTGAGTCCCCTGGCATAATCAATGTCTGCCCAAGGCTCCCTGGTGAGTGCCATGGGAACCAGCAACAGTTGGGTCAAGTACAGAGCAGGAGGGTCATGGGGAACAAAGGGGGCAAGACCTCCACTTTCAAGACCACTGTGGATTAATAGGCAATTGGGAACTTCATTACTTAAACATATCAGGCAGGCAGTATCTCTCATCTCAGGTGTTGCGGGAATGAGAATGACCCCCACTTGTGGAAAAGTGCCTTGGGGAGGAGGCTACAGTGGAAGCAGGAACAGCGCTTCCTGACACTGGGGAGGCTAGATGGTGTCTCCTCCATCAGACCTGGTGGAGTCAGAGAGGTCTGACTCCTCCAAAGGAAGAGTGAAACTGAGGTTGGGGGATGAGAATGTGTGTGACAATGATTGTCTGATCCCAGGGTTATACTCAAAATACTTAACCTCAGGCATGGCATGGGCACTAATTAGTAAGAACAGATGCTAGTGGTAAACAATCAGTGGGTCATAACGCTGATGAACACTGGCCTGACCCAGGCCTTGCCTTACATCAGCTAAGGCAGCTTACAGGAAGTATAACATTAGGTGACAGATTTCCTCCTGTGTGCCAACTTGATCTATTCATAGCTACTGCTTAGAGTGCTGTGTTGAGACAAATTCTAGCGGTTATATCCCATCTTAGTGGGAAAGATCATTGTGATCGGTGATCAACTAGTGATGTCTGCTACAATCACAGGGCTGGAAATGTCAGCAGGTGGGCTGTGTGACAGACTAACTGCCCCTGGGTTAAATGTTTACATTCAATTCATCTTACAAACATTTATTGGTCATATACTGTGTGGTTGCCCTTGTTAAATACAAAGTTGATACAAACATAAAAACGGCACAATTCCTATGCTAAGGAAGATCTCAGTCTAGTTAGGAAGATAGATATTTAAACAGAGAAGTTTCACACAAATGATCATTACATCAACAGAGATATACACAAGGT